ATTTGAGGGCACGGCTATTTGCATTTCAATATTTATGCAAGTTCCCATCGATTTGTCTTTAGGAAGAAGTGGGTAATCATCGGGACATTTTCATATGGCTTAGTGAAAAACTACGTTACATGTATTAGTGTTATCAGATGGAAAATATCACTTGTCAAACGGATAATTTAGTAATTGCCTTGTGTTCCTCCTCTGCCATTTGCATAATTTATGTGCCGTTACCTGTGGACATGCTGTCTATAAATAATGCGACGGACGGTACGGTCGCGTTTTTGCCAATTTTGATCGGGTTGGGGTCCCGTGGGTTCTGGCACCTTGATTTTGACACTGGGTGACTAATCTGCAAGGTTCGAACCCGCATTGGGCGAGTATCACCTGCGTGCTATCAATGAATCCTTCACTGTGTGGTCGGTGGGGTGTTACGAGACAATGGAGTGATAAAAAATCAGGCTTGGAGTCTAGGGGGAAAATTGGTCGAAGTTTTGTTCGAGAGAGCTTCCCTCGTCCTTGCAGGGTCACCCAACAAATCCCGCTTCTTCGAAAAATTATAAAAATTAGTTGCGATTTTTCAAGTTTATATTTTTCAATTTTTAGATTTTGCAAATTTTCGATTTGAGGTTTTCGAGATTTGTATTTTTAACTCGTTTCTTCAATTACATATTCAAATTCCCGAATTTTCAATTTTTCATTTTCTCGTTTCTTCAATTTTTAGAGTTTGCAATTTTTCAATTTAAAATTTCCGAGCTTTTTCAATTTCAATTTGTCATTTTTTGCTTCTTCAATTTCACGATATACAACTCTGCGAGTTTTCATTTCTCTATTAAATTTTTCAGTTTTTCGCTCTTCCAACGTTTGAATGTTTCAATTTTTAGATTTCGCATTTTTCGATTTGCAATTTCCCGAGTTTTCAATTTTTAATTTCTCAATTTTTCATATCTTCAGTTTTTTATTTTCTTTATGTTTTCAATTTTCCGATTTTTCAACGTTTTGGATTTATAATTTTTCAATGTGAAAATTTCCAGTTTCCAGATTTTCATTTTTTCTTCAGTTTTTCGAATTGCTTTCTTCGACGTTTCAAGTTTGAAGTTTTCTGTTTTTCAGTTTTCCAAATTTCAATTTTTCAATTTTCAGATTCTGTAATTTTTCGATTTGTTTTTTTCCAGTTTTCAACTTAATTTTTTCAGTTTTCCGACTTGCAATTTTTCGTTTCGGTTTCTTAGTTTCTTTATTTTTTCAATGATTCGATTTTTCAATGTTTTGACTTCATAATTTTTTATTTTTCATATCCTGAAATTGTCGATTTGCAATTTTTCGTTTCGTTTTATATTTTCTTTATATTTAGAATTTTTCGATTTTTCAATATTATGATTTTATAATTTTTTGGTTTTTCAGTTAAAATTTTTTCAATTTTGCGTCCCTTGAATTTTTATGATTGGCAACTTTTCGTTTCAATTTTTTAATTTTTAAATTTTCCAGTTTTTCGCTTTTCCAACTTTTGGATGTCCTAACTTTTATAATTTGCAATTTTACGATTTTTAAATTTTTCTTATCTTCTGTTTTTCGTATCGGTTTTTTTTCAGTTTTTCCATTTTTCGGTTTTTTAATAATCCGATTTAATAATTTTTCTTTGTTTTGATGTTCAAATTTTCCGATTTTTGGATTTTTCTATTTTTCGATTTGTAATTTTTTGGTTTTCTTCAGTTTTTCGATTTGCAATTTTTCAACAATTCCAGTTTGAATTTTTCCAATTTTCGAAGTCTTGAATTTTTTAATTTTTTTAATTTTCAATTTTTCATGTACATATTGTAATGTGAATGTAAAGTAATGTTTTCAATTTTTCTTTTTTTTTCATTATTTTTTCATTTTGTGTGTTTTTCAAAGTTCTGATTTTATCATTTTTATTTTTTCAATGTGAAATTGTACAATTTTTCAATTTGTAATTTTTCAATTTTTCAACTTTTCCATTTTTTAAGTTTTCGTTTTTCTCTTTTTCATTCTTTATTCAACGTGAAATTTTGCGATTTTTGAATTTTTCAAATTTTTGGATTTGCAATTTTTCGATTTTTCAATTTTAGATTTTTCACTGTTTCGATTTTTGTATTTGTTATGTCGTCAATTTTTCGTTTCGGTTTTTTATTTTTTTTTAATTCTCCAACTTTTCAGTTTTTCAATATTTTCAGATTTAATTTTTTCTTTTTTTTTAGCGTAATTTTCCGATTTTTGGATTTTTCAATTTTTCGATTTGTAATTTTTGGTTTTCATGTTTTCTTCTAGTTTCCGATTTTTTTAAATTTCTCAGTTTTGTAAATTTTGAATTTTTCGGTTTTTAGATTTTGCAATTTTTCGGTTCAAGTTTTTCGAGTTTTTTGATTTTTATTATTTTTTCATTTTTTTCTGTTTTTCAATGTTCTGATTTTATAATTTCTCTTTTTTCAGTGTGAAATTTTCCAAATTTTGGATTTTTCAATTTTTCGATTTCAAATTTTTCGATTTTCCAACTTTCGATTGGTTTAATAATTTTTCTTTTTTCATGGTAAAATTTTCCAATTTTTGGTTTTTTTAATTTTTAGATTTGTAATTTTTTGGTTTTTATTTTTTCTTCATTTTTTCGATCTCAATTGTTTCGACTTTTCAAGTTAAAATTTTTCAATTTTCCCATTTTCCAACTTTTAAATTTTTCAGTTTTTTTATTTTGCAATTTTTGGATTTGAGTTTTTCGAGATTTCAATTTTTAATTTTTCAATTATTCGAATTTTCAATTTTCCATCTTTTCAATTTTTTTTCATTATTTTATCATTTTTTTTGTTTTTCAAGGTTCTGATTTTATCTTTTTTTTATTGTAAAATATTTCAATTTTTAATTTTTCAATTTTTCGATTTTTCAACTTATCCTTTTCAAAATCCTTGTTTTTTCTTTTTTTTTTTTAAAGTGAAATTTTGCGATTTTTAAATTTTTTCTTTTTTTGTTTTTTCAATTTTAGATTTTTCAATGTTTCGATTTTTCTATTTGTCCTGACTTCAATTTTTCGTTTCCATTTTTATTTTCTCTATTTTTTCAATTTTTCAGTTTTCCGATATTCTGCCTTAATAATTTTTCTTTTTTTTTTCAAGAGAAAATATTCCGATCTTTGGGTTTTTCAATTTTTCGATTTGTAATGGTTTTAGTTTTTTGTTCAATTTTTCGATTTGCAATTTTTCGACTTCTCAGTTTTAAATATTTCATTTTTCAGTTTTCCACCTTTGGAATTTTTCAGCTTTTAGATTTTTCAATTTTTCGATTTGAATTTTTCATGTTTTCAATTTTTATTTTTTTTTAAATTCTCTATTTTTTCAATTTTTCTGTTTTTCAATGACCTGATTTTACGATTTTTCTCTTTTCTTTGTGAAATTTTACATTTTTAAGTTTTCGTTTTTCTTTCTTTTTCTGTTTTGTAAATGTGAAATGTTTCAGTTTTTGGATTTTTCAATTTTTCGATTTGCAATTTTTCGGTTCTTCAAATTTTTTGATTTTTAAACTTTTCGTCATTTCGATTTCGGATTTTTCAGTTTTTCGTTTCTGCAATTATTGATTTGCAATTTTTCTAGTTTTCATTTTAAATACGTAATAATAATTGTAGTTTTTAAAATATTTCACTTTTTCTATTTCGAAATTTTTCCGTTTTTCAGTTATTGGATTTTAAAACTTTTTCGAATTTTTATTTTTCAGTTTCTCGATATTTAATTTTCGATTTTTCGGTACTTTCATGTTACAGTTTTTGGAATTTACAGTTTTGCCCATTCCCATTATTACAGGTTTCTCAATTTTTCGATTTCGTTTTTTCTATTTTCCAATTTTGCGATTCATTAATTTTTTTCGATTTTTAACTTTCCAGATTTTTAATTTTTCAATGTTTCGATTGTGTCGTTCCTTGAGTTTTTGTTTTACAGTTTTTCGATTTTCCACATTTTCGATTTTGCAATATTCCGTTTTTTCAGTTTTTCGATTTTTCCATTTTTTAAATTTCGATTTTTCAATTTTCGGACTTGACAACTTTACGAATGCAAGATCAAAGCACGAAAAAATATGTAATTAAAATTTTGAAATATTTAAAAACGGGAAATCAAGAACTTGAAAAATCGAATAATTGAGAAATCAAAAAATTACAAAATTGAAAAATTAAAAAATTGTAAAATTGAGGAATTCAAAAATCAAAGATTGAAAATGTGAAAAATTGAGTAAATTAAAAATTATAAAACTGAAAGAAACATTGACAAGTGAAGGACATGAAAAAACGAAAAATTGTGATATAAAATCGGGAAAATGAAAACTAAAAAAAAGCGAAAATGGAAAATAAAAGTCAAGAACCTGAAAAATTGGGGAAAGAAAAAATTGAAAAATTAAAAATTGAGAAACTGAAAAGTCGAAAAATGAAAAATTGTAATATCGTAAAATTTGCAAAAGTAAAAAATTGTCAATAGAAAATTTGAAGAAACGAAAATTTAAAAAATTTAGAAGTCGAGAAATTGAAGACTTGAAAAATTATAAAATCGAAACGTCGAAAGACGGACAAATTGTCGAATGTAAATAAATTAGGATTTTTAGAAAAATTATAAGACTTGTACCTAATAAGTTAAAACAAAAATACGTATGTAATGTTAAAAATTAAAAACAAATTTACTCTGGTAAATTTTGGACACCATCCAATTGGTGATGGGGATGATTAGCCAAATTTTGGTTAGAGTTTTACCATCTACATGATAGTTCTAATATACATACAGACGGCGGACAGACAGACAGACAGACAGACGTAAACGGGAGACCTATTTCTCCGAATTCTAGGTGTCATGAAAGGTCAAGAAAACATAAAAGAAAAGAGTCAGTCGCTCGGGAAATAATAAAATCACATAAATAAACTTTATTTATAAACTTAATTAAAAAAAAACACTGGTTTTGAGACGCCAATAATATCAACCAATTACAACAGTCTTGAAATATCCTTATCGATATTCCCCTTGTTCCAGGCGAGAAACCCCACAAGTGCGTCGTCTGCTCCAAAGCCTTCAGCCAATCGTCCAACCTCATCACCCACATGCGCAAGCACACGGGCTACAAGCCCTTCTCCTGCGGCCTCTGCGACAAGGCCTTCCAGCGAAAGGTGGACCTTCGGCGGCACCGGGAGTCGCAGCACCCCACGGCGCCGGAGTCCGTAATCTACGCCAAAACCGAAGACGTCAAGCAGGAAGTGAGCAGCAGCAGCTAGGACCTCGCCGTCCCGTGCCATGACCGACCCGTGACTGCGGTGCCATCCTGTATATAAGTACATAGAAGGCTTGGGACCAGTCTAGTCTGAGACAGATGCCAGTGTTACCATCGTCCAAAGTGCATAAAGCTGGAAGCTTGGAGCGATGAAGATTCGGTTCTTGTAAATTCTGTGATTGGAGATTTTTGCGACTGTACAGTGATTTGTATAATTGCACTCTTGTTCCATATTTGCACTTGATTTAGGAGGGTTTTACTAGGGGTTTTCGATGGCTGGTCGAAGGCTGTTAGTAAAACTTCATACAGCTTTCAAGACCAAAGAGATCTGTAAGTAGTTTGTATGGTTAGTTTTAAGGGTTTTTTTGTACATATTTGCTAAGAATGTAATGGGTGCCTTGAATTGTTAGAAACATTAAATGTTAAAATTTATAATAAGGGTGAAATGTATTTAATTTTTTTAAATAATTGTGTATGCATTGGATTTTAAATATATGTTGATTTCATTAAACTGGAGTTGTTTTAATCCACAAAGACTTTAAAAATATACTACATCATTTGGAGTGGAAAAACGCCAACAAATTACCTTGACCAGAGCGTTTAAAGATTATTTCGAGAAATTTTAAAATCAAACATTCCAACTAGAAATATGGTAGACAACATTTTATTTTTCCAATTTACAAAATTTTAAATGATTTCATAAATCCGATTTTTCAATTGACTTTTCTTCGTCATTTGAAGTATAAGCTAAGATGTCAAATGATTTTTTTTAATTCATAGTGACAAAAACAAATGCAACCTTCCCCGAAATTATTTTTTCCTAACTTTTCGCTTTGAACAATAGAAGATTCAGACTTTTAAATTTGTCACTAATTACTTCTACAATACCTGAACAGAAACTTGTCTAAATCTTCAGTGTTTTTGTTATTAATGTCGAAAATAAAAAAAAAAAATGAAGATACCTGCCTACACCTTCAGTGATTTTCTTATTATCGTAGAAAATTAGAAAAAAAAATAATCATAATTTTTTTGAAATTCTAAATAAAAATTGCCGTTTTTCATTGGACCATTATGGAAAAATTATAAAAAATTTCAAAGAAATGAGGCCGAAAGTAAATTCTGGAGGTCTAAATGTATTTAAAAAAAATCGTTGTAGGTAATTTTTGGAGGTAGTTCAAAAAAGAGCTTGAACTTTTTATGACAAAGAAGTATGTATTTCAAAACTAAGCTTTCCAAAAAGTTGTCTAAAAATCCACAAGAAATTTAGATCTCTACGTGCTGGTTCGAAAAATATAGCTATTTCGAATAGAAAGTCAATTCAAAAACAAATACTAAAAGTTGGCATATTTCATTGGGCAATTTTGGAAAAATTCTTGGAGTTCTCAAAGTCAAAAAAGGACGAAATTTCCATATTAAAAAATTGAGCTTTCGAACAAGTTGTCTAAAAATCCTCAAACATATCTCAAAATTGCCGTAGTTCATCGTAGAATTAAATTTTTATAACTTTAAAAAGCTGGATTTTTGGTATGTATTCGTAAAAATTCTTATTTTTACTTCCCGATCATAGCTATGGAAATATTGCAATAAGATTCATCGTCTGCTTTCATGTTTTCTCGACGTTTCATGACCAATACAAAATGAAAACATAGATCTCCAGTTTCCTTCTGTCTGTTTGTCTACCTGTCTGTCTGTCGTCTGTCCTATATCTGTGTTGATTTTTCGCCATTTTTTTGGTGAACCTTTTGTTTCCTTTTTAGCTTTATTGACGGTGTTTCTTGCATTTTTAGTCGACTTTTCCCCCTTTTTTTTTGAGGAACATTTTTTTATATATTTTTAAGCTTTTTGTTTGGCCCTTTTTTGCAGATTTTTTCCTTTTTTGTGTCCGTTATTTGTCCTTTTTTCACCTCCATTTTGTCTCCTTTTTGGCTGTTTTCTATTGTCCTTTTTATCGTCTTTTTCGCCCCTTTTTATTTCTTGCTCCCTTCATATTCATCGCTATTTCGTTGTTTTATTATTCATTTTTTATGGTTCTTTGTTACCTATTTTTGATGTATTTTTAATGTTCCTATTGATTTTTCTTCACGTTTTTTAGTAAACTTTTTTGTCTCCTTTTTATGGTGGTCTTTTTCGTCGCGTCTTTAATACTCGAATTTTTCCCTATTTGTCTCTCTTTCCTTTATAACTTTTTTCTACCCTTTTTTTATTTTTTGTTGCCCATTTTTTGACGCCTTTTTTTGTTCCTGTTTTTTTTTGTTGTGTCTAATTTGTCGTCTGTTATCACAAAAAACTAAAATTTGTAGAATTCAATTTTTATAACTTATTTAAAAATCTGAATATCCTTATGCTTCATAGTCGAAGGAGGTTCGATCTAAATAAATTTTTAGAGATTTGTTGGCTTGCGGTCGTAGGAATTTTTATTTTTACTTACGTTTATTGTAATAGTTCTGCCGGTGAATAGCTACTTTCATGTTTTCTCGACGTTTCATGACCACTACAAAATTAAAAAATAGGTCTTCATTTTCAGTCGGTTGGTCTGTCTGTCTGTTGCCTGTCTGTCTGTATATCGTCTGTCTATGCTCTGTTTATCGTCTGTCTGTCGTCTGTCCTCTGTCCGTCTGTCTGTCTGTCGTCTGTCGTCTGTCGTCTGTCGTCTATCTGTCCCCATTTTTTGGTGAACTTTTTGTTTCCTTTTTGTGGTAGCTTTATTGGCGCCTTTTTTTAATTTTTATTCGACTTTTTCCCTTATTTTTTTGACGAACATTTTTTTAAGACTTTTTGTGGCATTTTTGTTGTCGCTTTTGCCGATTTTTTTACTTTTTTGTTTCCGTTTCTTGTTTTTTTTTCACCTCCATTAAGTTCCCTTTTTTGGCTGTTATCTGTTATCCTTTTTGTAGCCTTTTTTCCCCATTTATTTTTTACTTCCTTCATACTTATCGCCATTTTCTTGTTTTATTATTTATTCATTTTTATGTTTTTTTTGTCACCTTTTTTTATTCTCCCTTTTTTTTAATAACTTTTTTGCAATGTCTGTCTATCATCATTTATGGTTTATTTTTCCGCGTTTTTTAGTCGTATTTTTCCCCTCTTTTTCATGAACATGTTTTGTATTTTTGTAGTCATTTTTGTGTTTTTGTGACATATTTGTTGTCGGCTTTTTTGTCGACTTTTTTACTTTTTTGTTTTATTTTTTCCCACATTTTCACATCTTTTTTTTCGTTAACTTTTTGTCTCTCTTTCTTTTATAACTCTTGTTCTGCCATTTTTTTTTGTTTTTTTCATTATTTTGTTGTTTTATTGTTCTTTTTATAATCGCTTTTTTTGCCTTTTCTTTTGTCGTGTTGTCTGTTATCGCAAAAAATCTAAAATTTGTAGAATTCAATTTTTATAACTTATTTAAAAATCTGGAATTGCTTAATTGATGATTCTTTAGGGTCGAAGCAAGTTCGATCTACACGAATTTTGAGACATTTTTTGATATGTAGTCTTAAGAATTCTTATTTTTACTTACGTTTATTGTAATAATTCATCCGGAGAATAGCTACTTTCAAGTTTTCTCGACATTTCATTACCACCACAAAATTGAAAAATAGGTCTTCAGTTTCAGTCTGTCGTCTGGTTGTATCGATTTTTCCCAACTTTTTTTGGTGAACTTTTTTGTTCCTTTTTTGGTGGCTTTATTGAAGCATTTTTTGTCACCTTTTTTTAATTAACTTTTTTCCCTAGTTTTTTTTTTTTGATGAGCGCTTTTTTGTAATTTTTATAGCCTTTTTTGTAACATTTTTGTTGTGGCCTTTTCTTGTCCATTTTTTTACTATTTTTGTCTCTCCTTTCTGACCTTATTTTCAACTGGTGTTTCACCCTCCTTTTGCCCCTTTCTTTTAGCGATTTTTTTTCTCATCTATTCTTTTTTGTCACTCTTTCATAGCCTTTTATACCACTTATTTTCTTTTTTGTGCCTTTTTTAGTGCCTTTTTGTTCTAGTTTTTTGTCTCCTTTTTATCGCTATTTTGTTTTTATTGTTCGTTTGGTTAAACGCTTTTCATTTCTTCGATTTTTCAAATTATAGATTTATTAATTTTTCGTTTCTTCAATTTTTGGTTTGTAATATTTCAGCTTTTCATCTTTTTGGGTGTACTATTAATTATATTGTTTTATATTTTTCACTTTTTGAATTTTTTTTCTTTCTATTATTGGATTTTAAAACTTTTTCATTTATTAGTTTTTTCAATTCTACGATTTTTATTTTTTTTTGTTTTTCGATCTTTCAGTGCTAAAAGTTTTTCGAATTTACAATTTTGACGATTCCGAATTTTTAGATTTTTAAACTTTTCGAATCAAAAAAATAACAAAATTACAAAATTGCAAAATTGTAAAATTAAAAATAAAAACACGAAAAAGTGTAAAATGATAACTCTGAAAAATCTAAAAAATAGAAAACAAGAACTTGAACAATTCAAGAAACGAAAAATTGAAAAGTCAGAAAATAAAGAAATCAAGTACGGTGAAAATCCAAAATGAAAAATAAAGATAAAGAATTTGAAAAACTACGGAAACGAAAATTTGATAAATCTAAAATTCAAAATTGAGAAACTGAAAAATCGAAAAGTCAAAAATTATTAGGTCAAGAGATTGTCGATTTTTTTTACATTTTACGTCTCCCCTTTTCGACTTTATTTTCAATGGCCATTTCAACCTCCTTTTGGCCCCTTTTTTAACGCTTTTTTCTCGTATATTCTTTTTTGTCACTCTTTCTTTTATACCCTTTTTCATACCACTTTTTTGATTTTTGTAGACTTTTCATTTTCTTGTCTTTTTTTTTATCGCTATTTTGTTTTTATTGCTCGTTTGTGGATCGTTTTTTCTTGGCTTTTCAGTTTTCCGATTTTTCAAATTTTAGTTTTTTAATTTTTCGTTTCTTCAATTTTTGGTTTGTAATTTTTCTAGTTTTCATTTTTTGGATTCCATCTTTCAATTACTGGAATTTAGAACTTTTTTATTTATTTGATTTTCAATTCTTCGATTTTTAATTTTTTGATTTTTCGAACTATCAATGTTAACTAACAGTTTTTCGAATTTGCAGTTTTGACCATTTCCAATTTGGCGATTCGATTCGTTTTTTCTTTCCAATTTTTCGATTCGTCAATTTTTTTTCGATTTTTCAACTTCTCGAATCAAAAAAATAACAAAATTGCAAAACAGCAAAATTGTAAAATCAAAAATGATAACACGAAAAAGTGTAAAGTAAAAACTCTGAAAAATCTAACAATTGGAAACCAAGAACTTGGAAAATTGATGAAACAAAAAAATAAAAGTTGAGAAACCTAAAAATATAAAAAATTAAAGAAATCGGGAAATTGACTATGTTAGAAATCCAAAAATTGCAAGATTGAACAACTTAAAAATTAAAAAATTGAAACATTGAAAAAATAAAGGAATTGTAAATACGAAAAATTGTGATACAAAATGA